GTGTCCTTCGTGCCCGTCGTGGTGAATACTACTCGGCTTCACGGTTCAATCTTGATCGCGCAACTGCGCTAGGACCTCCGGTAACGGGTACTCGACGATCGGCAGGCCCGACTTCACCACCTCTCGTAATCGCCGCCAGCCGCGGGTGACGAGCTCTTCGCGCTGGCGGACGTAGTCGGGGTCGAGTTCGCGTTTGTCGAAGGGGCCCTCGCAGACGACCGGCGCAAACTTCTCGTCCACGATGTACTGCGCCAGCGACGGATTGCAGCGCTGGTGGCGTTCGCGGGTGGTGTGCAGGACCTCGGGGTCGAGCATCCCGATCACGTAGCGCAGGTAGAGGTCCGAGTCGGTGATCGCCCCGACGTCGTCGCCGCAGACCTCGCAAAGGTATCCCTCGTCGCACTTCGCCACGCCGATGGCTCCTGTCGTTTCGTGGATTTCCTAGACAACCATTAGAACGGCGCGACGCTCCGTTCGCGATGGGCTGGGGGATGCTACAATCCGCGGAACGCCGCCCGTCCTTCGCTTGGCAAACCGGGGACGGCGCCGGGCCTACTCGCCGCCCCCGTCGCGCAGATCGCATCGCCCCATGTCCACGGCGGTATTCACCCCGAAGCAGATCGCCCAAGCGCTCGGCGTCAGCGAGTCGTCGGTGAAGCGGTGGGTCGATAGCGGCCGACTGCCGGCGGCGAAGACGGCGGGCGGGCATCGCAAGGTGCCGCTACCGAGCATCGCCAAGTTCATCCGCGAAACGGGCCATCAGCTCGCCGAACCCGCCGTGCTCGGCATGGTGGCGACCTCGCGCGGGGCAGCGCTCGAGTCGGCCGTCGATGAGCTTTTCTCGGCGATGGTGACAGGCAACGAGCCGGCGTGTCGTGAGTTGGTGCTGTCGTTCTATCAGCGTGGCGAGCGGATCGAGGCGATCGGCGATCGGCTGATCGGGCCGGCGTTTCGGTGCGTCGGCGATGGCTGGGCGGCGGGCGAGGTCGCGGTGCACCAGGAGCGGCGAAGCTGCGAAGTGATGATGGCGACGCTGCACGAGCTGCGGCGCTGGCTGCCCCCGCCGGCGGACGACGCGCCGCTCGCGGTCGTGGCGACGCCGTCGCTGGATTTTTCCGAAGCGCCGCCGCGGCTGGTCGAGTTGGCGCTGCTGGCCGAGGGCTGGCGGGTCGAGATGGCGGGCAGCGGCCTGCCGCTTAGCGAGATCGCCGACATTGTCGACAAGCGCAAGCCGCGGCTGGCGTGCGTGAGCGTCACGCACCTGGAGAGCGACGCCGACGCGTTCGTCGCCGAACTCAACGCCATGGCCGATGCGGCGCCGACGATCGACGGCCGACGCTGTCAGTACGCGGTCGGCGGCACGGCGATCGATGACGACGTCCGATCACGGCTGCGCTGCGGCTTAGTCGGTTCTTCGCTGCAAGAGCTGATCGACTTTCAGCAATCACTCCACGCCGACCATTAACGACGAGTAACCGAATCAATGCCGCTCTCCTCCCCTGTCGCGTCCATCGGCCCTGTCGCGTACATCGGCGTTGGCATCATGGGCGCCGGGATGGCGCGGAACCTGCTCAAGGCAGGGGTGAGCGTCTACGCCGCGAACCGCACCCAAGCGAAAGCCGAAGCCCTCGTTAGTGACGGCGCGAAGGTTGTCGATTCGCCCGCTGCGGCGATCGCTGCCGGTTGCCGGGTGGTGTTCGTCAACGTGCCCGACACGCCCGACGTCGAGGCGGTGCTGTTTGGCGAGACTGGCGTCACAGCGGCCGACGCTTCGCAGGTGAAGGGCCTTGTGGTTGTCGATCACTCGACGATCTGCCCGGTCGCGACCAAGGGTTTCGCCGAACGGCTGGCCGAACACGGCGCCACGCTGATCGACGCGCCGGTCTCGGGGGGCGACGTGGGGGCGCGCGAAGGGACGCTGTCGATCATGTGCGGCGGCGAACGGACGGCGTTCGACGCTGTGCTGCCGCTGCTCGAGCATGTGGGCAAGCGGATCACGCACCTCGGCCCCGCCGGCAGCGGTCAGGCGTGCAAGGCGTGCAACCAAGTGGCGGTGATCGGCGTGCTGTCGGGCGTGTGCGAAGCCCTAGCGCTCGCGAAGGCGAGCGGGCTCGACTTGCAGCAGGTCGTCGAGGTCGTCTCGGCGGGCGCCGGAGGATCGTGGCAACTTGCGAACTTGGGCCCGAAGATCGCCAGCGGTGATCACGCCCCAGGCTTCATGATCGACCTGCTGCTCAAGGACCTGCGGCTGGTGGCCGGCGCAGCGGGCACGCACGACTTGCCGCTGCCGATGAC